AATGTAATATCATCAAAGACTTAAAAGAGTTAAGAGGGAAAAATATTTTAGACGATGATCATATATTGAATGATGATTGATTGATGATACATTCCTTATCAGATATTAAAATAAAAAAATAATTAAAATCTAATCATTTTATTATGCTGGATTGATGTGTATATACGTTAGCTAATGAATTTTTTTAAAACAAAAATAAGTCTAAGAAAATATATCCAGCGAGGATATAAATGTAATATCATCAAAGACTTAAAAGAGTTCAGAGGGAAAAATCATGTTTGTCTTCCAAACAAAAAGAAGGAATCCTTCTCTGCTAATAATTACTTGTATCGATGTTTGATATAAGGATGAGATGGAAAGGAATATGGAAACCATCAGCCAAAACAACGACGACGACGACAACAATAATAATAATAATAATGATGATGATGTATAACCATTAATACTTGTAACAAAGACGATTGACGAGGACTTCAATTCCGAGCGGACTGCACACGAGAAGGTCGACTACGGACAACAAGACACAAATCGGACAGCTGACTTGGACATACTGATAACAGACATTCAACGCTCGAGCGAGCTTATTTTTCCGATCACACAGTACATAGATTGGCTGACGACAGAGGTTGTGTGTTCCATTACGAGCTCAGCCCGAGATCTCGATGGACTTCATCTCCGGCTTCTTCTTCGCCTCCTCCTTGGGCACCGTCACGGTCAGGACACCGTTCTCCATGGACGCCTTCAACTGATCCACCTTGGCATTCTCTGGTAACCTGAATCTCCTCAGGAACTTGCCGCTGCTCCGCTCCACGCGGTGCCACTTGTCTCTCTTCTCCTCCTTCTCCTTGCTCCGCTCGCCGCTGATCTGGAGGACCCTGCCTTCCTCCACCTCCACCTTCACCTCCTCCTTCTTCACCCCCGGCAGGTCAGCCTTGAAGACGTGCGCCTCGGGCGTCTCCTTCCAATCTATTCGGGTGTTTGCGAAGGCGGAGGTCTCGCTCACGAAGCCGGGGCGCGTCTCCGCAAGGGAACGGAAGGCATCGAAGGGGAAGCCCTGGAAGGGGTCCCAGACGTCGAGGGAGAAGGGGTCGAAGATGTTGCTGCGCCTGACGATCGACATTGCTGTTATGAGATGATGCTCCGGTGATCTGGGTGCTGCTGGTCGACGGCGACGAGAGGTTGGCGTGGAGTACTTATAGAGAGTCGGATGCAGAGGGCTCCGAGTATCCTCTCGCCTCCGGAAGCTGCTCGACAACGCAGGAAATGAATTCCGGAAACGCGCGGTGGGCCACCATGTTCTCGAAGACTCATGATGTTTCCACCATCATCTGGAAGACTCCAGATATTGTCGTGTACCGAAAAGAAAAGAAAATTCTATGTTTAATGATAAATTTAAGATGATTTTTTTAAATAACCTTTTTTTCTATTTTAAAACAATCTCTAATAATTTTTTTTATTTTTTATTTATACAAAGAAGATGTAGCTCATAACTATCTAATTTAGACGCTTGTGATGGAAGATCATCTCAAAAGATCATAATAGAGATAATCTCATATTTAAATAATTAATTTAATGATAGAGACAATCTCAAATTTGAATAATTGATTTGATTACAATATTTAAGTGATTAATTAAAAAATCTCTCTCTTAAATATAAATACTCATCACCTAAAGATCATCTTTTTCATAACTTATTTCTCAATTCAATATAGCATATGGTTAATGAGATATATTATAATTTATAAGATTGTTGATCAAAATATCGGTGGCATACAGACCAAAAGGATGAAACTAGTTTTAACTATATCTCGATATTTTTATTAGACAGAGCTACTATCTAGTTGAAGAGTGTGTGATGATAACATGAGATATTGTATACTAAAGAATAAATAAAAAAAATGATTTTTAAGACTTGATATTTATCTATTCCATCAGTGTAAATTATCTTAATGGTAAATTGAAAGAAAATCTCAATCAATATTCTAAAGTGGGTAAAAATTATAGATACTTTATATTTATGTTGGAGTCATATAACTATGTATACTTAGTAATATATAAATAATTATAATATATTTTTTAATATAAGTATAATGTATATTATAATTGAACAATATCTCATTATTTTTTACTATCATTCTTGTTTAATAAAATGAATACATGTTTACATTGAGAAAAATATATGAATCATCATCTCATTTGTTTTGAGATGTTACAAAACCCTCTTAATTTTCATTCAAAACTATTCAAATTCTCGTGTAAATTTTTTTTTAAAATCTTAAAATCAATAATAAACTGATAATTCCATTAATAAAATTGATTATTTTATGCACGGGGCTCATGATGTATGCCCAACCCTCAGAAACAATATCAGAGCACAAAGCCCACCGGTTTGACGACTGCTACACTAATCCATTTTTCTGGTCTGTACAGAGATCTGAACCTACCACAGAGCTCCTGCAATTATATATGACTTTTTTCCTCAAGAAAACAGCCTACATGGCTCCATTTGAGAATTTGCTGGCGAAGAGCTATCAAGAAGACACATCATGCAAAAGAACTGTGACTTCTGCAAGCAAAAGCAGAGAGCACCAACTTGTATTTTGGAATAGAATGCTTCACTTACATAAGTGATTGATACAAAAACAGACACAGTTCCAGAATCAGACTGACAAGACGACCGTCGTTGACTATGGGCGGGCTACCAGCAGACACACCAGAGAGCACACTCGCACAGAAAACAGATGCAAGTATGACACCCAACTCTCACAGCACGCAACGGTTTGTGCTCCATTCAGAACTCAACCGGAGATCTCAATGGACTTCATCTCGGGCTTCTTCGCCTCCTCCTTAGGCACTGTAACGGTTAGGACACCGTTCTCCATTGACGCCTTCACCTGATCCACCTTGGCGTTCTCAGGCAACCTGAACCTCCTCAGGAACTTGCCGCTGCTCCGCTCCACGCGGTGCCACTTGTCGCTTTTCTCCTCCTCCTCCTTGCTCCTCTCGCCGCTGATCTGGAGGACCCTGCCTTCCTCCACCTCCACCTTCACCTCCTCTTTCTTCACCCCCGGCAGGTCGGCCTTGAAGACGTGCGCCTCGGGGGTCTCATTCCAATCGATGCGGGTGTTGGCGGAGGCGGAAGTCTCGCTCACGAAGCCGGGGCGCGTCTCGGAGAGGGAACGGAAGGCATCCAAGGGGAAGCCCCGGAAGGGGTCCCAGACGTCGAGGTAGAAGGGGTCGAAGATGTTGTTGCGCCTCACGATCGACATGGTTGGAAATGGGCTTTTAAGGATCAGGAAGCTGTCGAGAAGCTGTAAGCTGCAGATCGTCTCTTCCTCCCGTTCTTGACGAGAATGCGGAGGACTGGTCATGTGGAATACTTATAGCCTCTCTCGGGTGGGGCTCGAAGTCTCCAGACTGTTCCCCTCGCTTCTTTTGTTGAGGTGAAAATATCACCCGGAGGGTGCCCAGAAACGTCGGGATGACTCTGGAAGCGATGCGGAGTCTGCTTCCAACCTATTCCACCATGCTCATCTCTTTGAATCAGACATCGAATAATACTAGTAGATTGCCCCATTTGTCTGCATGTAGACATATGAAATAATAAGAATATATATATATATATATATATATATATATATATATATATATATATAACTCTTTCATATATGATAATTACGTAATTATATGACTAGTTGTTTATTTATGAAACTGCACATACTAATCATTGAAATATCTTCTAAAAGGAATTAAAAAATATATATCGTTGTCTATCTACTCAACAGAATCAATCAGTCACACTAAAATGAGTTCTTCCAATATTCTGATCAAAATAGATGAGCAAAATCAATTAAAAAATTGAGTTGCACATTGAGACCAAAATTTAACTTACAAAACATCATCAAAAGGTCCGAAGGCTTGAACAACATAAACTCTGTCCCGTGAAAGTCTCACAGGTGTAAATTACAATGCACATATCCAGTAGTATTTCTAAAAAGTTTCATCCAATCGTATTCGATGAAGCTTTAATATATAAGGAAATGATAGTTGATGTGGCTTTCAACTTCTTGTCTTCCATGGATGTACGATGATGAGTTCGGAGTACCTACACCCTCAAACCAAAGCTTAGAGATTTGGAAAATATACAATCTCGATACTTCATCTATTTGGAAATCTCCCTATGCGTCTCCGTTAAGAGGGGGAACAAACTCATGATCACCTGGACAGGATTGCTTAGGAAGGTGTGTGCCTTCCAAGTATGAAGACCCTGGCAGAGTTTGAAGGCCAAACTGTCCAAGATTCAAGAAGACTCGCCTAGTCTTTTGCCTTGGAGCAGGACCCAGCAGATAGGCCCAAATTGTCAACCTGTGAGATTACATGTTATTGGCATGGATTAATTTTGTAATAGAAAAAGGATTAAATTTTACAAGTTGAATCAGCCAAGCCCTGTAGTTCCATACACACATTCTCTTACCTCTGAAGCGAGGGCAAGCTGTGAATACTCCTCATTCCACCTCCTCTTGCACCTAATTCACATGAGAAAAACAAATAATTAGTTCAGGTCCTTTGCACTAAATAAGCAAATAATACTGTCATAATTTTTTGTTGTTATTTTTATGGACATTTTCGATTTTTAGCTATCAATAGGATGATGGGGTGGTAGCATTTGGCGACTGTAATGACAATAACCGATCCCCTGCTGTCAGAAATCCATGAAGTTTTCATGGAGTAATTAATCACAGGAATGTGATCAGTCTAAATACTGCCATGATATTAGCATGCCTTGAGAGATATTCCATCGTACCATACCACCATGCACAGCAGTGGCTCCGAAAAGGTTCTGCAGAGATTTTGTCATCGCAGCCTCTCTGATCACCCTGTCAAAAGGAAAGGGGAGGTTAATAACCATCGATATCATTTCTAAAGAACTGCTGCATGGTAAACACAACAAAATGAGTTTTGTAGGACTAGCTTGCTGAAAATTCATTTTAGGCTAAAGCTTCAATGTAAATTAAATCAGAAGTCATCTGAGAGTTTCTTTGTTCATCATTAAATCACACATTAACAACTCATTCATACAACAATCTGCAATAACATGGATTTTGAATTCTTGCTCCTCTCTTGTAACAAAGAACCATTCAGCAGACACCAGAAAAAGGCACTTAGAATTACTTACGTCGAGAATGAAGATAGGCGACGCATCAGTTTGTCCTCCAAGGTTTCAGGCTCTTTGTTGGAGTCGTCAAGAAACCTATTGGCTGCCAACGTTGGTGCTTTCTCCATGGAGAGATGGAATGGAGACTGAGGGGGTTCCAATTGGTCTTGGAAAAGCACAAGTTTAGAAGAGCTCTTTGGGGCACCAGGGAATCTGAAGGTAGTCAGAGACTTACTCATAGGGAACAGCCGGAATAGAATAAGGACATGTACAATTAGGAAAAAAGGAAATGTAGGAAAGTGCCTAGAGACAGAATGGAAGGAGGGGAAGCGAGAGCTCTGTTCTAAGAAGAAGAAGGTTTGATCCCTTTGTTCGCTTATGTAATGGCTTTCATATCACTTACAGGTCTGACTTGATGCAATCTTATGAAGTCAAAGCCAGTGTTCATGCAACAGCCGCTTCCACAACAAACCTCTCCACCTGTAGGATGTAAGAAAAGATCATGTATATACATTGTGTTAAATTTGTTTACAGTGTTTGTCAAATCATACTTATTTGTGAAATTTTCATATAGTCACAGCCTTTTAAAGTATGTAGTTCCTTCTATGATAAAAAAATTCCTAGTAATTTTGCTTCTCTTTGCTTTCTTTTCTATGCAGTAACCAAATCATCATATTGCTCAGGTGGCACTGACAGATAGCCTGAAGTGCTACTCTGAGCCACTCTCATCACAACCATGATCAGGCCTATAGATTATTGTGAAGCAATAAAACATCAAATATTTATGCTTGCAATATCATAATTTCCTAGTTTTGACAATTTCTGATAGGGAACATTCTGGCACCTCCGACGTAACAACTTGTCACGACCTTAGCTGGAATTGCCTATGGCGTGAGACACCCTTGCGGCAAAAACGCGAACTTAGCTTGCGTTGCCTAAGTCACACTTCGCCCTTGCGATTTGCATCCGCAAAGATCAGCCAACTTGCAACCTCTCGTAGGTCCCGAAGGACCTGTAAAAAGAGAAAGTTAATTAGTTCGAAGAACGAGTGACGGACAAGTCCCGACGTCTCACGAAAAGAGGAAGTTTTACAAGCAATTCAGCGAGCACCTTGTGTGCACAAGAGAAAAGAGGGAGAGGGAGAAAACAACGACTTTAGAAGGTTGAACGAACAGCTGCAAGTCCACAAACAGCTGCTCACCGGGTGCCGGACATGACAACAAATTCCCGTCAAAGTAACGTGCGAACTTGCAAAAGATTGTTCAACGCCCGATACTATACCGAAGTCCCATCCAGCCTTGTGCCACCCGGGTGGTTCCAAGGGGCTGAGATGGCTGACGTTTTGTGAGCGGAGGCAAACTGCAGAGAACAGCCCGTGGCACATGAAAACGGAGCTGTTTTGCTCGGTTCGGTGAGCGGTCGCTTTGTAGCGCTGCAACTTGTTCGAACTTACATTTTTACAAGCAAAATGATTCAAAACCATGACAAAACATGCTACCAAGCAGCTGTACATGAAGACGAGAGCGACGAACGGTTCGTTGAACGGAGTTGTTGCAATATCATAATTTCCTAGTTTTGACAATTTCTAATAGGGAATGGCACCTCCGACACAACAACTGGCAGACACCTCAGAGCGAACGTGATGCCTTAGAGCCGACGTAGCGCTTCGGCCCGACGTGGCACCTCGGAGTAAATAGGACATACGCGCGTAGAGTAGACGATTCTCGCACCGCCCGAGGACGCACGGGCAGTGCCGCACAGCACGGAACCATGCAGACCGACCCGTGCCGCATGGATTGTATGGGTCGACCGCCCGAGACATTGGCGGCCATTAACGAATCACATATGATCGGTCCGACAATAGGTATAAAAGCCGACCCCCTGGCCGATGCTAGGGAAGCTCAAACACTAAACAACACCCTAAAACTCCACCTTACACTGACTTCAACTTCAGAGAGGCCAAGCCGGAACCCCTGACTTCGGCCTGTGTGCAGGATTCCGGCGCAGGAAGGCCCAACATGGAAAAGCTGACTCCCAGCCCTAACTTGGGTCGGCCCAGCAGACAGCGCCCCAACCAAACCTGGCACCGAACCCCCTCGACTCTAGAATCCGCCGAGGACGACCTCGTGTTCTCGGATCGAACCAAGCCATGCTGACCCCCCGGGCCACGGTACAACAATTTCCATCCCGTATGTACTTGCATGGCATACGTTTTGTTCTCTCCAAGATCTCAATAAACAAAGGAAGTGTTCATCTTATGTTGATAAAGAAAATAGCTTGTAGTGCTAACTTGCTTACCAGGCCCAACATACAAAAGTTCCTGCAGCATTGAAGGGGGCCTCCGGAGGAGAATGAAGGATTGCTGAAAGCGATCAAATTCTTGCTGCTGCAGAAGGAGACTTTGTCAGTCACAAACACGAGATGAAGATTCTTCTACCGAACACGGTTACTTGCAGTGGCTTCCGCGTCAAGAGGGGCGCAGCAGATGACTTATTAACTGGAGAAGAAGAGAAGCGCCGTTGCCTGACGTCAGAGCTCACAACGAAGGACAAAAGGGCTCGGGAGGGGTGAAAATTCTGCCTATGAGGTTTCCAGAGGACAAGTATCAGGATGATTAGGGTAAGGGCTAGGTTTAGGGCTCGACGTTGGAGGGAAAGGAAGAAAACGCCATTAGAGGGGCAAGATGAATGCTGGCTGGGCTAATGACTGAGGGAGATTCCGAAAGGCTCGTCGTAGGAAACCGAGAGGGGAGAGGGAAATTAGGGTCCTCGGGATCGAGGAACAATAGAGTTTCATTAGCTATCGTAGTCGGACAAAGGCGAAGGGGCCGGGGAAGGAGATGTAAGAGGAGCACTCAGAAGGTTGTTCGACAGAACCTGGTTTCGTCTTGTGGTTCGAATTCGGATGCTGATAATCAGATTATCGGGTCCGACCCAATAATATCCGAACAGAATACTGCACAGTGTACAGCAAAGATGGAACCAAGTAATGGGTCTGAAAGCCTGAACCCCTGCTCCATTTCGAACGTAGATCCGTTAAGGAGGACGGACTACTTGATTGACCACCACGCTCGGAAATGGGTTTTAACCCGACACTAAAGTTAGCCTCGGCTTAGTATTTGGCTAAACAGCTTAAACGGTGTTGGGTTCCTGTATCATTGAAATGGCATATCGAAGGTAATATAATTTTTTATTTTTATTGAAGTAATATAATTTTTATTTTTTAAAACAAAATAAAAAAAGAATCCATAACGATTATCTGACAGTTTTGATTTGTCGATAAATAATCCACAAAAGTAGTCCACCAGCTTAACGTGGCCTATTAAGGCTCGTATCTGTCAGCTTCCATTAATTACACGTGAGAAGAAGTGGAAGCCCTTTGTGTGTGCATTATAAGTGGCACGCAAAACTGGAAAGTACCTAATGATTTAACATGTTTGACATTGTCAATTTCTGGATCTCAACCAAATACAAACTAATCGCGTTACACGTGAGAGGAATTGTACCTCTATTATAAATATTTTACCCATGACAAGTGTACGGGATCCAATCATGAGGCAGGTATGTTTTGGGTGCCGTTAAATTAGTACCGTCAAGTGGTGACCCTTCTCTACGACGATCCATGGCTTACCCCATAAATAACTCCTGCATTCGTACCCAACTCCCCAAAATATAACAAAAGCAAAGGTACGTCCGAGACGATACGAGCCAAGTGAGGGAGGGTGCAGTTTGGGGTGGTCCCCTTAGGTTAATTCCCATTCCCAATTCCTTCTAATTTGTGCAAGTTGTCTGTTTATATAAACCCGCGAGAAGGAAACGGAAAGCTCATCTGAACGTTCGTTTTTAGGGGAAGCTCTCGAAATTGCTTTCGTCTCCCTTTCTTTCTTTCTTTGGATCGAGAACGAAAGAAACCTTTGTGGTTGATGATGATCGCCGCAGAGAAGGAAGGAATCGCCGAAGACGCCGGAGACCCGGCGGCGGCAGATCCCCCGGCCGCCTCGCCTTCTCCTCCGCTGCTCTCCCAAAACCGACGTCTCCATAATTTCTCGTTCCCGACTCTCAGCTGGCGTGGCCAGCGCTTCCTCCGCTGCTCCAAAGTTTCCGGCGTCGCCACAACCGAGCCCGCTAGATCGGCCGATCAGGACCACCGGACCTCCCAGATGAAATCTTCCCCGCAGAGGCCGTTGCCGGTCGCCCGGGATCCGAAGGAGGAGGCGAGAAGAGGGAGGGAAGGAAAGGAGGCGGACAAGGCATCCTCTTGTGCGGCTACTGTGGCAGAGGCCACAAGACCCTGGAACTTGAGGACGAGAAGGGCCGCTTGTAATTTCCCAGCTGACCGGTACGGTAATCATGGTTCTATTTATGGGGCTACGGCGATGGAGACGATTGATCCTCCGATGAAGACGGTGAGGCTGCAATCGGATGAGTCGAAGAAGGGTAGGATGGAGAAGTTCTCGATCTCTCTGTCTCGTTCGGAGATTGAGGAGGACTTTTTCGCTATCAAAGGGACGAAGCCCTCTCGGCGACCAAAGAAAAGGGCTAAGATTGTTCAGCGAGAACTAGACGTAAGAGATTCTACTTGGAGAAATATATTTTCTTTTCATTTGATCTTTAATCGACTTCTTCCTTTTGGTAATCATTCGATCATTTCTTTGTGCTTTCTGTCCTATTAATTAATTTCTGATTCCCCATCGCCCATGGATTCATCTGCAGTCACTTTTCCCTGGTTTGTCGTTGTCAGAAATAACCCCCGACTCGTACGAAGTTGTTGAATAAGGTCGTGCAAAATCCTTTCTGGTAGTAGTACATCCACAAAGACAATGTCTTTTTCAATTATATTTGAATTTTCAAGCTAGAAGCTACAATTGCTTTCCTGCAGAGCTTGAAGAACCAGATGAAGAGAGGCGCCTTTCCGGGAAAACCCTTAAGGTTTTCAATTGCTGCCTAATCCTGTACGCTTGTAATCATGGCAACTTGGTTATGTAGCACACCTTGTTGCTCTGTAAATTATACGGTTAGATTAAATGATGATGATGATGATTATTATATTTTTTGTCTACGCTGCAAGGCTGCCGTTTCAATCTATTTCTTTATTAGCTTTCTTTGAAAATTTAAAATTGTTTTGCTTTAACAGAAAACAGTATCATGGAACAGTTAGGAATCATGTATCATGCATTCCACTTCTTGTTCGATGAAATTTGTCTTTAGCTCTTTATAGTGTGAGTTCATACTCGTTGGTACCGGAGTATCTATTTTATTGTTCAATTATTTCAGAAGAGTCACAGAGATTAGGAATGAGGCCATTATCAAAGATGCTAGATGGTAAGAATGTTTTCCTAGTGGGTTCGTTTTAATCTAAGACAATTCTCTAACGTTGAGGATGTAGTTTTCTTTCGTGAATTTTCTTTCTTCTGATGCCCTCAAGCCAAGTTCATTATTAGAAACTTGGGATATTCAAACTTGTGACGCTAAACTCCATGATGATATCTTGCAAACTGAAAATGCTCAAGATATTTTATTGTATTTGCTCATGAGTAGACATGGTAAGTAATTTGTTAGGAAGATTAATCAATGGAATGCCAATTATTTGTTACTCTGTAATTATGGGTCACAGCCAGAGGAACAGGTACTAGCACTTAAATGAAAACTATTTGTCAAAAGGAAAATTACCATTACCTTGGGGTCTAGGATCTGAATGCTTTGTCTTTGTTGCCGAGTGACACCTAGTGGGATTGTTGGTTCTGTGTTATAATGATTTATATGACTGCCTTATTCATTCTTACAAAGTCATTGTTGCTTCAGTATTTTGAAGGTGAGGGTTGCTCTAATGTCTAGCTTTCTTACTAGTGCATGTTCAAGTTCTTTTGTTTTTATGGCTTTCTTCACTTGGGCTCAACTTGGATTGTAAATGGACATTATTTAAAGATGCCTGTCAAGAATTATTGACGTTCCGGTGATTGACTTTTGATATTGAGTTTTTTAATATTGAGTTTGCTATATTGTGTTTTAGTAGTTCTAGCTTGTAACATACAGTTTTTTGAAAAAAAGGAATACTCTTGTCCGGAACCATCTCTTTCTTCCCTGTTGCAGGTACAAAAGTAATTAAATTTCCTGAGGTCTAATTATGAATGTGCTACACACACACACACACAAAAAGGCCATAGTTTTCAAACTCCTATGATACCTATATGTTAGTGCACCTTCTTGATGCTATTCACTAAATTTATTGTTTTCTTGTGGAGCTATTCTCTGCTTCCAAGGAAAATTAGTTTCTCTGACATTACAGAAAACTTTCTTAATTCGATTCCAGGGATTGACAACTTGCTGCTGCAGCATTTCGAAACCAGTGAATGGACCAAAGTTTTGTGGAATAAGAAGAAGAAAAGAGCTAAAGAATACTTGTATAAATATTCACAATGGTCATAGCAGGAAATATGCTGTAAGCATGAAAACTCATCTTGAATACTGATGGGAAATACTGTGTTTTTATTTTTTTCACACATGATAAGCGGTGAGTATAGGATTCCATCCCATGACTTTTTTTTTTTTAACCAATAGTCAAGGATTATTATTATTAACCTCCATCTTAACATAGAATTTGGAAGATGCTTCCAACAGGGATCATAGTGCAAAGTGATGGAGATTTATTTTTAAGTGTCATTGCATGCATACCATCGGATTGGTAGCATATTCTAGCAGCAAAGATCTAATTTGAGTGACCACAACAACTCAAGGTGGGTTTGGGACTACAGATGGGTGGGCCAGACCCCGTTTTGCATTGGGCTAAACACCGGCATGCTGCGTTATACGTTGCCCTCAGCACGTGACAGTTGCCCGTGTCTTGAAGCAGCATACGGCCATGGGAGACGGCGTAGGGTAGTAGGGATTAGCGACTGCTCTCCACCGCCATGGCAGCAGCTGGTTCTCCTCCTCTCGTCGGCGCATCCCCGCTCCTTTCCCTCCTCCCACCACCCAGAAAACGGTCCGCGATGCCCCGAGCCGCCGTCTCTGCCTCCGCCTCCGCGAGAGCCAAGGCCTGCTCGTACCAGCTGAGGGAAGGGCAATTTCGCCGTTTCCACCGCCTGCCCTCTGGTCTGGCCATAGAGGTCATCTTCCAGGAGGCTCAGGCCGCGGCTGCGGCAGAAGAAGGTCTCCGGAATCCGCCGCTGGTTTTCATCCATGGGAGCTTCCACGCGGCCTGGTGCTGGGTCGAGCATTGGCTGCCTTTCTTTTCCGACTCCGGTTACGACTGCTACGCCCTCAGTCTCTTGGGTCAGGTAAATCACCTGCGGTGTTGCTTGAATGATGCACTATTCGACAAGTTGATATTTCGTTTGGATTCTTGCTGTTATGAATTACCCTATTTCCCTGAAAGTGTTCATGAAAACAGCTTCTTTTTTTGTTTTTGAGTAAGAGGAACATCAGTGAATAGATTCACAATGTGAATGCTGGATGGAGTGCAACTGGTATTTTGTTGTGCTTGTGTCTTTAATATTGAATCTTTCCGTGTAGAATAGACAAGAATGGGATAGTTCGGAGGATGATCCCATCACATATCCTTATTGTCCTTGAAACCATCCCTCTGTTCGGGCTACTCGTTGCTTAGATAAATCAATTTCTAGTATTTTATAAAATCTAGATAATTCTAGGTTCTTTTGGGATGCATATACTTCCATGAGCAACTAATTGCCATTTCTTTATGGATTATTGTATTCTCACTGCCAACGGAAAATTCTGGTGCTCATTTATAATGACTGGCAACATACCCAAAGATCTTGTACAGCTTAATAAGTCGTCACATGTGCTGATTATGTTCACTTTTTTTTACATTGTCAGGGTGAAAGTGATGTTCCATCAGGGGCGGCAGCTGGTACTCTTAAGGTGATTTCTCGTAATATATGTTTTTTTTAATTAGTTTAAATTCAAACTTATTAGGGCCAATAAAAATCTTTGCAGTAGACACATACAAGTGACGTAGCTGATTTTATCCGAAAAGAAGTCAGATCACCACCTGTTTTAATTGGCCATTCGTTTGGTGGCCTCATTGTTCAGTCTTATATTTCAAACATGACATATAGCTACTCCTCCGAACAACCATCTCTTTCTGGTTTGTACACACCTCACTCCATGCTAAATTTCCTGATCTTTTTTTAACTGGTGACTGTCAATTGTAGAGAATCTCGTTGCACATCCACTGCTTGCAGGAGCTGTACTTGTATGTTCTGTGCCTCCTACAGGCAACAGGTAATTATCCGAAGCAGCTACGTTGTCATCTAATCTACTTGTGAATTTTTTTAATTGTTCATGTGAAACTATGTGACTTGTCTTTTGATTCTTTCTGTCTCCAGTGGTCTTGTCTGGCGATATCTTTTAACCAAGCCAATTGCTGCTATCAAGGTATGACATGTCTAATTAATCTGCCACATTTATGCATTCTGTATGCGCATATCATAAATTTATCTGAAGTGAAGATGCAGTTATATTATTGTATTGTCTTACTATTTTAGTTGATTGTGACCTTGTGTGGTGGTCTTACCTTTCTTTTGTTAGACCAAAGGATATTGCCGTCATGGAAGTAATGGGTTGCATTAATCTTTTATCGGCTCCTTAATTACACTACGTTCAAATACAACTGACTTGTCATATTTTTAGAATTACCTAAACCATGGAACCTTAATGTTCAAGACTGCATGTCCCGAAACCCTTGTGATATCTTTTTAGCAACCTTAGTGCTGTCCGTTTTACTTAAGTTACAATATGCACATGTATACACATCTTATGCAGGTTTTCCAGATATAGCCTGTGCATTCATAAAATTGCTTAAAGCAAATGCATTATGAATGGACAGTGAAAATTATTTGTAGTTTAACTACTACATCATATATTCCATGGATAGTAGTTGTCTTCTTCGTGGCTTTAGTTTTGGTGCTGAACTGGTTTTTAATTATTTTTGGCCTTGTTTACCAGGTGACACTCAGCTTGGCTGCCAAAGCTTTTGCAAATTCATTGCCACTGTGCAAAGAAACATTTTTCTCATCGACAATGGAGGATCACCTTGTCTTAAAGTGTGTACATGTTTGAACTATTATTGGCGAATTTAAAATTGCATCATTCAGTTAACATTTCATTTGACTGCATGATTAAAATAATTCCTGCATATTGGATAATGTTTGTTTACTTATATTTTCAAGTTTGTAGTAATTCAAGTCTCCAATTTCATGAAAGAAAAACCTCTAATTGGCTTAATTCATTAACCTACAAAATACACACGGTCATATGCCCAAAGGAGTCTCATTTCTCTTCGACAATGGAAGATTACCTTGTCTGAAATTGTGTACATGTTTAAACTATTATTGACAAATTTCAAATTGCATCATTTTTGGTAACATTTCATTTGACTAGGGTATCTTTGTGCAAGTTTGTAAGTTATCTTTGTGTACAAAGCAGTAGATAGCATCAAGTGTTAACATGGCTTAATATGGATTGTTCCAATGAATCTTTCCATGTAAATTTCTTGGAAATACTTGAAACTGGTATTTGTGTAAACATACTTGAAACTAATATTTTGTGTTGACATACTTGAAACTAGTATTTTGTGTAAACATGCATCATTTAGTTGTCAGTGTAGGATAAAAATTGAATAAAATATATATTACAAAGGATTAGAGAGCGAGTCTTGGCACAATGGAAAAGTTGTTACCTTTGTGACTTGAGTGACCAGCCTTCATATTATGGCTATGACATCTTGCAAGGGTAAGACTGCATATATTTGCCCTCCCAAAGCCTTATATTGACGGAAAAGGAGAGAAGAGAGGTAAAATTGTAGAGAGAGAGAGAGAGAGAGAATAAACAATGGATCCCTGTTACCTGAGTTCTTAAGCCTTAAACTTTGAGTTTAAGATTGAATACATCTTTAGACAGAACATTTACCTGAGTTACGACAAGGGAGATTATGGATGATCCAAATTTCATGTGGGATTCCAAGAGTATGTATCTTTAGATCCAGTCAAAAAACTCTGGAATGTTGATCTTTATGCAACTAAAACTATTGGGTTTCAGCCAAAACTTTTATATCGACCATAAATACAGTACCTTAACCAATATGTGTCTAGTATGATAGGCACCAGGCATTCACTTGTAAAACTGGTATGCACCACCAGTACATCAATGCTCGACTGTTACTGTAGCATACTGTCAATATCTGAATGGACATGTAGGCCACAAGCATAATACAGGGATGCATGACTTTGTATTGTTCCTACCATGTATGCCTGCACTGTCCACAACATGTTTCTGATGTCTGATGTAGCATGCCTGGCACATGACTGGACTTATACAACTTGGCTCAACATTCTACTACCGATCTTCTATGCCATTTCTTTTACAGCATTGCCATAGATGTAAGAGAGAAAAATAATAATGACGAATTCTAAAGTGAATATTGGATTATGGACATGTATAGCAACACTGACAAATGCACACAAACAAACTCTCACACACAGGAAAACCATCTCCTTAGACACACAAGGAGAAAAAATTATCATGATATCATAATATTACTATTTTGGACAATCAATTAAGCATAAGCATAATGACAAGCTTAGAGTAATATGCATAATAGACAATATATGTTTGTTAACTTTTAAATTGGTTTCATGATTTCTGGGTTGACTATATTCTTGCTGAATTCAAGTTCTACAAAGAATAAGAATATCAGTCATTTATCAGTAATGTAAATTTCTGACACTTCTGCTGCTGCTAGTTCCGTATTGTAATTTGGCACAGTGTTACAGGTATCAGGAGCTTATGAAAGCTAGCTCAAAGCTGCCACTATTTGACCTGAGGAAGCTTAATGCATCATTACCTGTATCTCCACCAGCAAAAGGCACAGTGAAGCTCCTTATAATGGGTGCAAGTGATGACTTTATAGTCGTGAGTTATTAGATTTGTGTATGTTATTCTGTTGAAGGATGTTAATTTTTGTTTCCTGTTTTATAAAACTTTACTAACTCGAACAGGAAATCGTATGAAGGATCATGTTACTTCGCAATAACTCGGGATCTAATCCCATAGAGATGAGAAATTTGATTCCTGTAAATTCAATGGGATGAATTGCATTGATAAGAAAAAGAAAAAAGGTGAACGGTGATTGGATTGATGAGAAAATAGAATCCTATTGGGAGTTTGTTGCATGGACTCGATCGTATCTTGATAATTAAGTGAATGTTGCCCTGGAGATGTTCTGAAGAAACAACTTTACAATGATGATGATAGGTTAGAAACACATTATTACACATGAAGTGCTTTGTAATTAATCTGTTCTGAATTTATATTTTCGTTCTATGACTGGGTAGGAGCACATAACAGTGAAATTTTGGCTTATGATCCTGGTTATCTGTAGCCTTGAATAATCTTTTTAAGAGTAAAGGAAAACAAAGAAAATTTGTGACTTGTCATACTAGTAACATATTAAGTTGAATCCATTATGTTTTTATAAGTAAAGCTTCCTAATTGCAGGACACAGAAGGGCTCCAGGAGACGGCTAGGTTTTATGGTGTACAAGCAGTTTGCGTGGAAGGGGTCGCCCATGATATGATGCTAGACTCTAGGTGGGAGAAAGGTGCACAAACGTTTCTATCATGGTTGCAGGAATTGCAAAGAGATCAGATTTCTTGATTCTTTTGATGAATCTTCAGAAGCTTCTTCATCTCAGTGCACTGAGAGAATCTTCTAAAAAAATGCAACTATTGGAAGTTTTGCCTCAATGTACCTCTTAAAATGTGCTCAACCCCCTCAGCCAAACTATTATTGTTCTTTTGTTGTTTCATGTCTGGTTATGACAGTTGAAAATTTCCATGACTAGTATACTTTCAAACCTCGAGCTGCAATCTCTAGTCGCCGACATGTTTATCATGATCGAGGTTGGTTTTTGCTAAAATAAGGTTATTTAGAGTAGACACCTGTTTTATTGAGTTTGCTATTTGCTTGCATTTATGCTATATAAGATTATTGTTGGGTGTATGCGTGGGGCTGTATGGGAAAGTTATTTCTCTTTAATATTTTTATGCTATATATATATATATATATATATATATATAAGCTAATTCTTAATTGGCTCTTTCAATTTTCACCAAACAAATTAATAATTCTTTTTAACAATTTCTTCACCTAAAAATTAATAAATTGAACATTTAACGCTCTTATAAACGATAATGCCAAACGGGTGCTGTGGAAAATGTCTCGGTTTCTAAAGGTTGTGCAAAAGATGTGAAAGCTGCTGCGGACTTTTAACACATCGTCCTGTGTAAGTGTATGCAAGTAATGGGGTCATTTTCCATGCATTACGCTATCGAAAATGACATTTAGGTGGCAAGACGAACCCCACCCCGAAATGTTTCATATACACACACGGGACCCACTCAATAATAAGTCTATGGGAAGTCCTGTCGTTCGTGCTTGCCTCTTTCCATTCAATCCACCTGAATAAAAGCAATCATTCATCAAATTAGATGTGGATGAAGCGAGTTTGATACGCAGCAGTTGGTGGCTAGTCATGGCATAATTGTCAGAGCTCAATTTCCAATTGCATCTCTCTGTACAATAAAGAGAACAGCTAGCTAGTGTGGAATTCTGCAAATATTTTTCGTTGAGGTTCACCAAACTGGACTCTTTTTTTCATCAAATTCTCAGGCACTACATGCATGTCTTACGGGTGTAATAAGCCCTTCCAACCAGAATAAGATTGTGGGCAACTTGTTCAGACATTTGACTGGTGTGTAGGACAGACGAGCAGAATAAGTACTTCTAAACTCATGAACATTATTAAAACCCAAGAAGACAAGTTGTTACTATTCACCTTCTAATTATTTTTTTTCTCGTGAGTTTATACTGATTCATGTTTCTTTCTCGAATACCTGTACTTGTATCTTTATAGAGATCAAACCTGTGTAACTATAAAAAAACTATAATATGCTGAAAAGTTTTAATATCTAAATTAAAATCAAATAGTAATAGATCAGATTTGCGATGTGTATCTTTCCGTATTATTTTAAAAAATCTTTATTTGATATACAGGGACACCGTACTTGAATCTAAAAATCATAGTGATGTCGATGTGCAAAAAAAACTAGACTCACATTTGTATCCTTTCATCGGATCACAATGATCGATCGATTAGAAAAAAAAAATGAGAGAGGAACCATAATCTCTCAATGACCGACACGTATCCACGTCTCGTGGTCTTATGTTTCCATCTTGTATTCATTGTCTTTAGTTCCTAGGATGTCCTATTTATTTATATACAAGAGTAGAGAGTTTAGGATAAGTAATTAGAAGAGTTCCTCCCATCTCGCTTATAACTCGTTTTGTCATGTTTAATAAAAACATCTTTGGAATGTATTATTTGCCTTTGGAATGATTCTTGAACAGGATCGATAATTTTTGGAATCTTTTTCCCTCAATTCATCTTACTACTTCGTGGGGCAGGAGCCCTTAAGTCTTGGTTGTCATCAAAGCATCTCTTGGAGAGTTGTCAAGGGTTTGGCTCCGACTCTCCCATAGGCGAGGGAGGCTGGGTGCTGGCTTGAAGGGGTTATGGGTTGGCGTTGCCAAGGGTGCGACAAGAGCGCAAAGTCACAAATGCCTAGCCCCCTGACGTCGAAGCTTGAGGGGCACTTCAAATGAGGTAAGCATGGGGCTCACCTTCGTCCCTTGGGAAAGGGAGGAGGGGCCCTCCTTGTCCAAAACATTCATTAAGAAGAGCGGTAGAAGGGTATGCTTGCGACATTTAACCCTCCTTCTAGTGCCAAAATGATGATGTCATAAGTACTATCGACTACTGAGTCAGCACGGTTGGTCCACTACTTAAGGTGCAAGCTCATTCGGGTGTCTGTTCCTGACTGACATGAGAAACTTGGTGAGGTGAGACTGCATAGGCTCCCTAGTTGGAAGTCATTTTGTTGGTGAAGACCCGGCTTAGGATGGCCACGTAGGCGGACTGGGATCTTCCTGGTTGCGAGGTTTCTCCTTAGGGTTAGGTCGTCCGAGTGTTTGTAGGTGACCGATGACCCTACGTGATAGGCCGGTGCTAGGGGTTGCTTGACATAACCCCTCCGATGCTTAAGTTAGCGAAGGAGAAAAGACAACAATATGAGCTATATGACTGAGTTAGTGTGTAGAGAGCTCCCCCAACCCCCCTTTAGCGTGAGCATTTTATACCTAATACGTAAGTCTTCTTACTAGTTGATTGGGGATAAGATCAGGCTAACCATTTGATCATTCTGGTTTCTAATCTTAATAAGAATGATTATCGTCAATCATTGATGTGGGTATATCGGGACGCACTACGATGCTATTTGAGGCTGGTGACTTAAAGCCCTAATTAGGTATCAGTCTCGATTGAGCTGACATAGGATAAAATCATCCCTAGCAATAGTGAACCGGACCAACTCACTAATCGATAGTATTCATGATACTATCAAATATATTATTAAAATATTAAAAGGATCATGATAATTTTATCATGAATTATATTTTTAATAATTTTTTTTCTAATAATGATAATACATATGGCCAAACATGTGGATCGATTTGGGATTATGACCTGCATGTTTACTGTTGGGAATTTTTCTACGGGCCATTCCCGCCTCAACTCTCCACGGTGGCTTGCAAAATGCTATATTATGAATCCGACGGTTGTGGTGGACGGTCTCGGGGAGGACCGAGGAGGGCCCGCATGAGATGCAGTGACCCGAGCAGGAGGTGCCGCGTGCCCCGCTTAATTTCTAGATGCTGCTGATACGGTTCATATACCTCACGGCTTCACGTTGGAATTGCCAGGTTATATAGGGGATCTTCCGGGGAAGTCTTTCCCTCCCCCGCCCTCCCATCCATTTCTTCGTTAAACCCTCTTTCTGATTCCGATATAGGAGTCTGCTATTCCGCATCCATGGGGGAGTTTGCGCCTATCCTCCCTTTCGTGGAAATGGACCCCGACTTGGAGCTGATGAGGCAGCTTGCAGAGCTCGACGGGTGTGCTACGGAGAGCCCAAGCATGGGATTGTTGATGGACTACTCCGATGATTACTACTTGCCTCATCAGCCATACTTCTCGGTGCCATTTATGGAGGACTCGTCCGGTGTGCCTGCGGAATGCCAAAAGCCGGTCGCGGAGCCGCAGCCTGTGGGCCCTACCGAAGAACAGAGTCATGGAGCCAGCAAAAGGAAGGCGATCGCAGCACCCGATACAAGTTCCGTGAACTGTGCAGGTCTCTGCTCGGTCACGAGGAGGAAGAAGAATGTATGTAAGGTTGTATCTCGTAGCGAACGGTTTGATTGTTTGCATACGATGGATGACATGGAGATTATACCTGTCTAAGGTTGCCTTATTTTCTACCGAAGCTCGGCTTTCAGGGCTCGGAGAGTGGGAAGACACACAAAAGCAATTCGAAGGAGGTGGTTCACGTGAGGGCGAGAAGAGGGCAAGCCACTGACAGCCACAGCCTAGCCGAGAGGGTACGTAAGCAAACACTAACATGACTGCATTTGATAGATCATCTTATTCGCGTCTGTGCCAACGGTTCTTGCCGTACGTAAAGATTAAATGTAACTTTTCGCTTGAGACAAACTTGTTTTACTAACAGACTAAATTCATTAGGATGTAACACTTGAGATATGGTATCAGGTGAGAAGGAAGAAGATCAATGAAAGAATGCGATGCTTACAAGACCTTGTTCCTGGATGTTACAAGGTACTCCGGGCGATGGCTTAGTTACCAAGGTTTCGGTTATTTCCTCCTCGGTTCTCTGAAATAAACCCATGTCCTTTGCAGACGATGGGCATGGCAGGGGTGCTGGATGAGATAATCAACTATGTGCAGTCACTGCAGAACCAAGTTGAGGTAAGCCATCTCTCGCTCCTCAAACTTTCGTCTTTCTTCGCAATCGATCGGCACAATTTAGATATCTAATTCTTGGTGTTGACGATACAGTTTCTTTCCATGAGACTTTCGGCCGCCAGCTCTTTCTATGACTACGGCATGGGAGTCGAAGCGATCACAACAAATCAGGTGAACCCTTGCACGGAACATTTAAATTGTCTGTTCATGTGCAATGTCGATAGGGGAGGAGCTTGTTCTTGTTCTTATGCTGCCTAAGCTAATAGAACAGTCGAAGGATTGTTCCTTCACGAAATCTGGCGTAGATAGAGTCCAGTTTGAATGGTCGGAGAGGGGAAGATTCTCACCGTCTTGTCAGTTTTCGGCTATACTAAGAATCCTATGTGAAGGAAGTTGAATTAGTTCCGAAATCACCAAACACCTAAATGCTGAAAAGTGAACTTATGGAGGTTGTGAATCCTCAAATCTTGCGAGTATCCATAGGAGGAAGCATAACTGGACCTGAAGCTGAATGGACACGGCACAACTCTTCTGTGGCCTAGCAAACACCATGGAAGATGGGGCTTGCACGATACACACATAGTTCTCGATCATGCTTTATTCTCTTTCATGTATCCTTAAGCCAAAAGTATTAAAGAAAGAAGATCCGTGGAAGATGTTAAGTAGAGAAAAAAAAGGTACAACAGCACTTTGCCTTAATAGAAAAAGAAAAAAAAAATAGAATATATATATATATATATGATGAAATGTTTGAAATGTCAATATGTTTATCTGTGACGGAGGTCAATAATTGGAGGGATCATCATGTCATGTTTGTTTCTCATGATTGTGCAGGCAGAAGCATACGAAGCTTGCTCGAGTGGCAGAGAAGGTGGCGAGGGAGGGATATGGGGATTGCAGTAGACTGGTCGATGCCTCCTTTTTGACACAGCTGCATGCATGCTTTCGGCTCTTGGCTTTGCCATGTCTCTGACCACATACATTGCACCTCTC